AACTCATAAATCGAAAATATACTGAAACGCTATAGCAAAAAATGAAAAAGACCAAAAAGAGAAACAACACTTTACAAAACACCACTAAAGACTGAGTCACAGAAAAATAACCAAAAATCAGGGATATAATTGTTCTAAATAATGAATGATGTATGTTTGTTTCAAGATCGTTATTGCCTGAAGCTTCTGTCGTAAAACTCGCGAATCTGAGTTGCAAAGACAACATGGAAAAAAGATTTCGTTACTCTTGTTTTTAACTTTTTGTCCGATGTTCGGAACCCTCTAGTTTTATCCATGATAGTGCAAATAATTTTTTGCCCCCGAAAAACCTTACTTTTCTTTTCCTAATTTTCTTTTTAATTGTTTAAAAAGCTATTTTTGAAAATCTTATATAGTACTTGTTATATTTTCATAGATTTTGAAAGAAAAAAAAGGTACCAATATTAAATATATGAAAAATGTATAAAGAGACAGTTCCTGTGAAGTTTTGTTTTGCTTATTTCTCGAAAAACAAGCACACGGACCCTGCATTTTTTTCTCCTTTATGAATTCCTTTATTCATATACTATCAATTTGTAACAGTTTTTAAAAAAGATTGTTATTTTTCAACAAAGTTTTTCCCGTTTAAATAGTTTTACACTAGTTATCTTTTGGGGCCATTTATAGCTTGCTGTTCGGTGTGAGCCAAGGTTCCATGTTGAAAACCTTACTTTGACCTATAATGCTTTACTTTTACAAACTAAGACTTGGATGGAGAATTATTTCATTGGCACTCATACCACATTTCTTATATCTGTAAACAAATAGACAATAATAGTGCATTGACTTGACATATCAACGATATAAGGATGAGGCTTAGAAACGGGGAAATGCGAGGCTCTGCCGAGCTTTTTCCCTGTTTCGAGCCGAATCCTTATATCGTTGATATGTCAAGTCAATACACTATTATTGTCTTTATACTGCAATCTAGATAAAAACATTTTCAATTGTTGTTTATTGTGTTAATGTTATTTATTCGATTTAAATATTGGGAAAATCCCCCTTTAAAAAGGCCTCATATCTTGGGGAGAAATATACAACACAATGAAATGTACATAACCTGTTGAAACCAATCGATGGTGAACGAATTCGTTTGAGTATGGACTAAAATATCAACAATAAGCATAAAACATAATGATTTATAGGTTTCAAACAAAAAATATTAACAAGTGAAATATGTTTTTCTAAATATTGTTCCACGCTTCGTTGTATACATTGCAAACAAGGACAGGTTGAAGAGGTCGTCATGAATAATTAAATACAGTTTCGGCTCTACTATTTAAATATTCATGAGGAAAAGTGATATCGGGTCAGTGACTGTATATGACATAGAAATATACAGTCAACGCATTTTGACTGCTCAAATAGAACGAGTGCAGTATAAATATCCTTATAACGCTCTTCTTAATTTAAATGATATAGACACTGAAACTAGTGCATTCTGTGTTTCGATATTTTTTTTACTGATGCATTACATAACATTTTATCATTTTACCTCCTTTAGATTACAAACCGACGCTTCCGTTTGTTCAGATTTAACCTGATGCGGTGTTTCTGAACAGTACCATGCTGTGTGCTGATTATCCAATGCGGTTGGACCATTGATCGTCCTCGAAGCCATCCGGATTTCCAATCAAAATGCGTCCTTATTTAACGTTTTGCCAGTATAATATCATTATTGAATCTTTTCTGGTATCTTTTTCAAACAAAAGAATCAAATCGAACTAAGTTATAGTTCCATCAATTATCATCAGTATAAATATTTCTTGAGTAACGCATTTGCATATCATTGATAGCTTATATTTTAGATTGTACCAAAAAGGTGTTTTGCAGGAGAAAGAAGCGGAGAACTGACAGTAACAAACAAAACTGAATAATTACACTTTAGACACTCTCTATTGGGAAATTAATAACTGTTTAAACATATTTACATAAAGATCATATCTTGGCAAACTTTAACTAAATTGCACATGTCTGAGTAAGAAAATCCACAGCTAAACATGTGTACCTAGTAGTATGTCTCTTTATCTTTTGCAATACACAAATGTAAATAACGACATAAAAAACTCACGTGTACAATTCCAATTATATAAATAATGTAGTAGGTATCGTCTTTTTACAGTAATACAATACAAATTTATCGGATGCATGTATCTTTATCTTGCCTCATATACATTTCTAAGAATATCATTGGTTAAAAGCAAACACGTGGAAACCGTGTAAATTTTTAAATATTTGGTGAGTGGGCGTGTTTCATATATGGTTAGTAGTGGTGTTCTCCTTTTTATGCACACAACTTGGCATTGAAGAAAAATATGCAACGGTTCGCTAAGACAACACATTAGGATAATGATGATAAGCCGTTTCAAATAAATGAAAACCACATAATGAAAGCAAAGTATTATTATTGTTGGCATTTGTTTTTGTACCAATGGGAGCAGGTTATTAATATTGAATACTGATCACTTTAATAGACCAGTGGTCGTAATTCCACATAACAGGATATAAGGTAAAATGAATGCGTTACACATTGTGCTGGTGACTAAGTACGATATATACATTTCATACGAAACAAACTGACCTTGTGATATGTCGTATACGGCCCCGTGTACACTGTGTGTCTAATATTACCCGTAACGTAGTATGCAGTATAAACTTACGTATACATCTAATAAAAAAACAGACTTATGTATTATCCTGCCTCAAATTTCGTGAGACTCGTTTCAATGATATGATCCCCCAAGGATGACTGGGGAATAGAAGTATGGTCACCATTGGTCTTCCTCCAACCGGCAGGAAAACCCTTGCTAAAGTGGGGCGTCCGTTTAATTTGGCTGTGCGGGATGTACAAATTTACAGCCACGTCCGGTCAGAATGGGGACGTTAAATCCGATGCCTCGTGTAAAGAGAGTGCCACGCTCTTTGCACGTTACGAACCCTTGCAACAACTCTTTGAGGGGTCCGTAGGTCGCCCATCTTACAGAACCTACCTATTGTATTTATTGTTAATTTGTTCTCGTCCTGAATATGCATGAAATATTTGCCACTGGACGATAAGCAACCAACAATCAATCAATCAATGATATGAGATGTTTTCTTATGAATCATTTACTGTTTTATGTATTCTTAACTGTATGACACATTAAAAATGGATGAATAAAAGAATTGATCTGTGTATAAAACGGAACTTTTCATTCTGGAAATAAATAAAGGATTTTCTCTGTTAACAAATCCAAAGAAAATCTATACTTTTAGTTAAAAATTATACGGTCGAAAACATTCCAGGCGTCGAACATAAAGGCACAAATGCCTGTATTTATCCATGTAGTCAAATCTTCATGTGGCTATTTCCTGGCTTAGTTTGGACAATAGTTGATTTATTTTTTTGGACGCTTAAATATATAAATAACCTCTAGAAAATTGGTACTTTCACAGAACTACTATTATTGAAAATATCTTGTAAAATGTACAGTGTATGTAATGCATCACAATACATGGCCTCAGTTGAAACCCCTTTCCTAAATTCACTTAGGTCGGGTACGTATACACTCTACTAAGGATCATCCAGAACATCATGAGTGCACTCAGGACATATAAAGTTATTCAAAGACTCTTTATAGTGATCGTATATATGCACGTTGTTTATCTCTGATATAAATTTTGGTAGATTTTGAAAACAAACTCTGTGTTGTTAGTTAAATGCTTAGTGTATGCATCTGATAACTTTTTTCAACTGATTTTTGAAGTTTGTTCTTATGTTCTACTGTAACATCACTGTCCCTGGTTAGGGGAAGGTTGGCGCCTTCAAACTAGTTTAACCCCGCCACATTATGTATGTGCCTGTCCTAAGTCAGGAGCTTGTAATTAAGGGGTTGTTGTTTGTTACAGTGTAACATATTTGTTTGACGTTCATTATTTGAAACCCCCAAGGGTGACTGGGGAATAGAAGTATGGTCACCATTGGTCTTCCTCCGACCGGCGGTAAAACCCTCGCTAAAGTGGGGCGTCCGTTTGGCTGTGCGGGATGTACAAATTTGCAGCCACATCCGGTCAGAATGGGGACGTTAAATCCGATGTCTCGTGTAAAGAGAGTGCCACGCTCTTTGCACGTTAAGAACCCTTGCAACAACTCTTTGAGGGGTCCGTAGGTGACCCGTTGCAAGGATAAATTTCGGTCCCTATCCAATATACCCTCATTTCCCGTGGCAGTCTAAATTTCTCCGACCTTAATCCCTGAATCTATTACAGAACCTACCTATTGTATTTATTGTGAACTTGTTCTCGTCCTGAATATGCATGAAATATTTGCCACTGGACGTTAAGCAACCAACAATCAATCAGTCATTATTTGAACATAAATAAAGCCGTTATTTGTCTCGTTTGAATTGTTTTACATTTTGCCATTGCCTTTTATAGTTGACCATGTGGTATGGACTTTCCTCATTGTTTCATGCCGTAAAGAGACCTATAGCTGTTAATTTCTGTGTCATTTTGTCTCATGAGGATAGTTGTCTCATGGGAAATGACACCACATCTTCTTCAAATAGATACCTATTATATATTTATAAAATACTAAAGGCAATGTCACTGATTACGCATCTACTCAGACGTGCATTAATTAATTAATTAATCAACAAAATTGATTGAAATATCTTTATTGCTTATCAGAACAATGTTTTAATAAAATTGAGTTATACGATGATTTTAGTTGTTTTGTAATTGTTATTTATTATGAAAGTTACTTTATGCGTAGTGAATTTTTACAATAATGGAGAATTCAGTCTAAACTCCCATTAAATGTATAGTCTATGTGTAATGCGAACAGCTAAATGTACGTTCTGCAGTTTATGAATAAAGGAAATAACACTTGATATTGCTTTATAGTTATCTAGTGTGTTTTGTTTCACATTGTGATATTTGTAACCCTCTTCAACATCAACCAAATACACAAATATATGCTATACTGCATATCATATTTTATTTAATATAAACATACAAAGTCAGACAAGTGTTTTTGTTTTGTTTTTCCAATTCTAATATCTTGGAATATGTACATATATATTTATACATTTATTCTCGTAAACCAAAGTACAATGATATAGACACAAACATAATATCAAATGTAAGTACAAATGTAAAGTGGAGGCAAATGGTAGTTACCAATGAGATGATAGGCATGTAATAGTTATTGGTAATAATTGCACAGTTATTTTAGAAATACTGGATGTTGTTATTCATAAGGTATTGAAATTTCAAAATATTTGCCATCTAGCAAATTTGAATAGATTTTTTGTGTTTTAAGGTTCTAAATACTTTTATGATCTAGAATATCAAAGTAATATAGAAAATGAGACTGTTTTTTAATAATTTATGATTATCATAGATTGTATATTTTTACACCAAGCTATCAAGCTATGTTTCCATTGTAACTGCCAGTGACAAGATTATATAGAATAACAGGAAGTTTCGTTTCTTCCCCGGTTACAAGGGTTGCTCAATAGTTTATAGTTCGTAATTTGATAAAAAAAAAAAAAACCTTGTTACACATATATCATGAAGTCAGGAGTGGATTTGTATAGAATAATAAGTTAAGGCAATAGCTTACTTAATTTTAGATGAACACGTTTTAAAACAAACGTATTATCCATTATCAGACTTCACACCCGTACAGTCATATTTGCTTTACTACTTTGTCAGATAATTCTGGTTGACATTTAAAATTAAAATTATTTCAAAAAACCCTACTTGCTTTCTCAGCCTTCTTCGCTTTTGTGAACCTTCATGTTGTTAATTGAAAGTAGTACATATATTTAATGTCTTCAACAATATTTAACACAATATCAGCATATCTAAAAATAACATTCTGTAGTGGTCCAAGTTTAGAACAAATACGATTTAGCTCTTTTGAACATTGTCTTTCAATTTCCATTCTTAATAATCGTTACAAAAGTGTAATTGTTTACTTGCTGTCCTTGGTCTCTTACTTAAAGTTTCTTGGGTTTCTTGCTATTCAAGTTTTAAAAAATTGGCTGTCGAAATATAGGTTTCAATAAATGTTGAAAATATGCCGAACGTCCCTCTGTTTTGACCTTTAAATAAAATAGTAGTGCATATCAACTTTCCATTCTAGGATTGAATTTTTCACGAAACTTCATAGTAAAAGTGTCACAGTTTTAGCCGCAAAGGGAGTTCCTATGGGAAATTGCATTGTCTATATTTACAGAAATGCAACCTATAAAAACCTTAAAAAAATGATATTTCAAAATTACTCTCGTTAAAGAAATGTATCACTTGAAATGACATGAATGGCGAAATATGTTTTTGTTTTTAACAAAATTTTCATATGAAAGCTGTCTATATATAATATTTAACTTTATGATGAGTTAAAAAAAAAAAAGACAATGTGTGGGGAAATTGTTTTGCATTTTATCAATTATCTGCAAATAGACTGTGACTGACCAACAAGATCAAGCAAACAAATGAATTTAAAGTATTAATCAACCTTTTAGGTATATCAAAATCAGCTAAAATCAAGACAAATTTTAAAACAGAATGCATGTTTCCAGTTTTCTGAATTAGTGGCTATACCCACCAATTCTAAATCAATAACATTCTGGCTTAGATATCATTCAATTAAAATAAAAGTTTACCCTTCCACTTGTTTTCTTAACATAAATGGCAAGAGAAAATTCTTATCAAGACCACATACGATATAGTTTGTGCTTTTAATGTTTCGAATTTCAAAACTTCTTGCATCTTTATTGTTAATATCCTTGCTAATGTCAATCTCATAACTACGGGTTGCTTGATTGTCTGTTATGTTCCATTTAACATCAACACACGTCAGGTTCAGTTGAGAAACCTTAATCTGAACATTCACTGAAAGAAAAAAAACAACGATCCTGCTAAACTTATCGATCCTTTAAATAAACTTATTCTAAAAGGTTACCAATTTAATACTGTAATTAGATCATTGAATATTGTTTTTATTGATATTAATATTGATTTTGTTATCAGTAAATTAACAGCAAACTAAATATAATGGTTATATACATATACACATTCGTGGATCTACAATCTGTCGATACCTGTATCTTAGCATTGCACAAGGTCATGTTTTTCTCTGACTGTTTATGACGTCTTTACACTAAATCCATTGGATGTTGGATGTGTACTGATAGATAATTTAGTCTTAGATGCATGATTTTGTTTTATTAGTTTTAAGTGGTTTTGAACTAGCTGTCAGTAACTGCAAGTACTCTCAGATCTGTACTTAGTATATTTTGGGATGTATAAGTACTCGGCCACGTCCACTTGTATTTGTAGTATTTGTATTTTTATCCATCTGATGAGTTAAGCCTTTTTCAACTGATTTTTATAGCTCGTTCTTATGTTGTACTGTTACAACACTGTCCCAGGTTACGGGGAGGGTTGGGATCCCGCTAACATGTTTAACCACGCCACATTCTTTATGTTTGTGCGTGTCCCAAGTCAGGAGCCCGTAATACAGTGGTTGTCGTTTGTTGATGTGTTGCATATTTGTTTTTCGTTCATTTTTGTACATAAATTAGGCCGTTAGTTTTCGGGGCCTTTTATAGCTGACCTTGCGGTATGGGCTTTGCTCATTGTTGAAGGCCGTACGGTGACCTATAGTTGTTAATTTCTGTGTCCTTTGGTCTCTTGTGGAGAGTTGTCTTTTTGGCAATCATACCACATCTTCTTTTTTATAATGAATGTATAACAAAACATGGAAAAACTAAACTGAGCCTGTTCAAAAGTGAAGATGATATTTACATTTTATTGTTTTGAATCGAAGTGATCGAAATCAGTTGTGGAAAGATCGGAATGATGAAATATCGTTGGAGCAAGGATGAAAGACATTGAATAGGAGGTCACGTTCAATAAAATATAAATAAAAAGTATGAAATATGCTACACAAACTATTTATGTGAAAATATCTATCCAAAAGGGAGATAATTTTAACCCACTTTTTCTAATAAGTAATAAATGCATGTTTCTTATTAGAACCATAACTGCCATTACTTAACATGACCTTGTATCACACTTAAAATAAGAAACATTTATATCAAATAATCGGTATTGTTAAAAAAAACAATGTATGCACTGCAAATTCATTAGATTTGTTTTGTACCAATTTTCGTTGTTTTTTTTTAGGGTAAAGGTTAACCCCGAATTGAAATATTCTATTGCCATATACGAAAATTTTGACAAAATTCAGACATCCACAAACAAAATATGCCTCAATCCACTTAAAAAGCGATCCCGGAAAAAAGGACTTAATAGTGTTTTCTTGCATAGAGTATCATGCCTACCTTGTGGTTTTTCATTATCTTGTGGTGTTCTGTGTACCCGCCAGGGCCATTGAGCATCTAACAGCTTTGGATATCCCCCTGCTGTACCTGCTAATACTCTTACTTTATACTCAGTGTCTGGATGGAGGTCTGAAGGGATAATATTCTCCATGAGTGATTCGGATTTCAGTTATATAATATAATATAATATACAATTGTCTATCTGTATCATTCCTATGAAAAGTTTTGAAAACTGACAATTTTTCATAGGGATTCATTCGAATTAAATGCATTTATTCTTGTGAAGAAATTCCAACAGAGAACTAATTTTACCTTTATATAGTAGTTAAACATTTTTTGCTAAAGACATTTTGAACACTGGACTACTTCAGTTTCCTTATTATCCTATATTGTATACAAAAAGGGCTTTTAATCATGTTATTTCATGATTTTTTTTTCGGTTTTTTTTTTTTGACATTTATACTAGAATTTATCTAATGCAAGGAAGTCTCGGGCCCTTTTATAACTGATTATGCGGTATGGGCTTTGCTAATTGATGAAGGCCGTACGGTAACCTATAGTGGTTAATTTCTGTGTCATTTGGTCTCTTGTGAATAGTTGTCTCATTGGCAATCATACCACATCTTCTTTTTTATAATTAATCCTTCACACTTTGTTCTTTATAAACTGCAGATGGAGTCACATTTCAAGCACACTTATTCATTTTGATTTTAACACAGATCTTAAGAAAGATGAATCAGCAATCCACCAATAATGGCTTTTTATGATTAAAAATGAAATAGCAAGAAATGGATTTTAGAACGAATACTACTCTTCATTATTTATAACTTTTTATTAAACAACATGTTTATATAATCTTGGTGTAGCTAATTGAAAGGATCTACGAAATACCCCCAGTTTTTGGTGGGTTCGTGTTGCTAAGTCTTTAGTTTTCTATGTTGAGTCATCTGTACTTTTATTTGTCTGTTTGTCTTTTTATTTTTGGCCACGGCGTTTGTCAGTTTGTTTTCGATCTATGAGTTTGACTCTCCCTCTGGTATCTTTCGTCCCTCTTTCACATTCTTACAATTGTAAAAGTGTAATTTTATACAGAACTAGAATTTTGATACTAAGATTTAAGAAGATGTGGCATGACAACATAATGTACCCTTAATTAGTATATATCTCAAGTATATGTTTTAATGTGAATTAATGTACTATAGATAAGGCTTTGATAAATGGACTGATATCAATAACATCATGGATGGCTCAAACAGCACGATTGCCATTGTTTGTATTACACATACAATTTACTTCAATTTATTACTAAAAAAAAAGGAGATCTGGTATGGTTGCCAGTGAGACAAGTATCAATCAAAGTTCAAATGAAGAGGATGTAAACAAATGTTTAGAAACAACTCTAAGGCCTTCAACAATGAGAAAACCCTTACCATATAGTTAGCTTTAGAAGACCCAATCATTACAAATATGACGCAATTCAATTTAGAATACAACCAATGAACTACCAGCACCTGACTTGGGACAGGTACATAAATAATGTAACGCGGTTAATATGATATATAAAGAATTGATATAATAGTTTTACCTCTGATAGTGTAGCTCTGGGTATTAGCAGACACATTCATCATGATTTCATGTCCACCATTTGACACATAAATCTGGTACCCTGTGAAAACACCATTACATTTCTCGGGAAGGACTGGATCCCATTCTACATCTATACTGGATGATGATGAACTAGAAAGTCTCAGATTTGGTGCTGCTTCGTGCACTGAAAAAGATGTGTTATTTATTGTTAACTGTTAATAGGGATGTGTTTTGGCTGTATGATACAAAACTGGGAAAAGCAATAAACTGATTGAGATATTTGGCAGGAGCATGTGTACAGTTAATACTTCTTAATGAATACTCGAAATCATACGCACTTCGAATTCCTTCACAAAACAAAAGGTCATGAGACAAAACTGGGAAAAGCAATTAACTGAATGCGACATTTGTTAGGAACATTTGTGGTGCAAATACTACTTATTGGCAATATATCACACTTCAAACTTATAACATTTATTTGAAAATAATCAGCACTAGCCAGTCAGCATTGAGGGGGCGAGTTCGAACCCCGGGTGCACTCGACTCCAATCTTAACAGACTAGGATTGTCTGTTTTCCTATCGAAGGTCGATGGTTTTCTCCGGGCACACCGGCTTCCTCAACCAAAAAAAAAAAAATGGCCGCCACGAAATAGCCCAAAAGCGGTGCTTAAAAGTGGCGTTAAAACAAAAAAAAATCAAAAATCAAATTGAATTAATCAGTATTTTTATGTTTATGTTACATTAGTCTAAACAGATTATTATTATCTGCATTTAAAAAACTAAAATAATCTTTTTATACATAGAATTTCACGCTTACCTTGTGATTTGTAATTTTGTTTTGGTGTTCTATGTACCAGCCAGAGATAATGAGCATCTACCAGCTTTGGATATCTCCATTCTGTCCCCGTTAATACTATCACTTTATACTCAGTGTCTGGATGGAGGTCTGTAAGGGTTAATATTCTCTATGAGTGGATCTATTTCAGATCCTATATAATTGTTTATCTGTAGCTTTCCTATGAACTGTTTTGAAAACTGACAACTTTTCAAAGGAATTTCGAATAACATGCATTTATTTTTGTGTAGAAATTCAAATATGAACATATTTTACCTTTTTTAATTTATAAAATCATTTGTTTTAAAAATTTCGAACACTGGACATCGTCAGTTTCTTTATTTTCCTTCTGATAAGGCGAGATGGCAGATAAAAAGTTTTCACAATCAATTCATTTCATGAATAATTGTTTGTCTTTAGTTTTCTTGATTTTTATACTAGAATTTATTTTATGCAAGGCATTCCTAACCAATTTTACACTTGTTGGTATAAACAGCAGATGGAGCCATATTTTATGCCCGAAGTAGATGTTTTTCACGTGACATGATACATGATAAATGAACTAATAGGAATAAGATAACAGATGTCAAATACAGCACGATTGCCGTTATTTGTATTACACATACAATTTACTTGTATTAACTACTAATATGAAAAAAGAGATGAGGTATGATTGCCAGTGAAACAACTATTCAAATGAAGATTATTTAAGCAGTTATAGGCAACCGTAAGGCGTTCAACAATTAAAAAATTCCATACCATATAGGTGGCTATAGAAGGACCAAACATTAAAAACATGAAACAATTCAAATGAGAAATCTAATAGCATAATTTGTAACAAAACAGATCACAAAAAAAAGTATGACAGATATGAATTCACGACAACCACTGAACTAGGGGTTTTGACTTGGGAGAGGCACATACAGGATATGGTGGTGATAATAAATATACAAAGAACTGCTAATTACAACACCTGAATTATGATATGCTTACCTCTGATAGTATATTTATGGCAAGCAGTAGACATATTCTCCATGATTTCATGTCCACCATTTGACACATAAATCTGGTACCTTGTGATAACACCATTACATATCTCAGAAGGAAGTGAATCCCACTTCAAATCTATACTACATGGTGATGAACTAGAAAGTCTCAGATTTGGGGCTGCTACAGGAACTGAATAAGATGTATTAATTATTGTTAACTTTTAACTGTTTTAACAGAGATATATTATGTCTGTATGCTACAAAAAAGGGAAAGCAAAAAACTGATTCAGATATTTGCCAGAAACATGTGAAGAGTTAATTCTTCTAAATGAATACTCGAAATCATGCACACTTCTTTAACAAAACAAAATATAATAAACTGTGTAAATATCCAAACCTACTAGATTCTGTTAGTTTGTTTGAAGGTATTAAACCCCACTTTCAGGGATTTTTATCTACATCAAGGTTCTCAGTTTTTATTTGATGAGAAAAAGTTAAATAACTAAAATACCGAATTCCGAGGTAAATTTAAAACGGACGGTTCCTAATTAAATAAAAAAAATCAAGAGCTCAAACATATCAAACGGATGGAAAACAACTGTCAATTTACTAACTTGGTACAGGCATTTTCTTTGAAGACCAGACCTCTAACTTGTACAGGTAGCTTGAGTGCATAGTAAGAACCGTTTAATTTCAGCAGGAAAACTTATGATCATTTCAACTAAGATTCGAATCAAAACGCACCTCAGCACAAGTTTGGATTGAAATTCACAACTGCAAAAATGACAAGCTGTTCAGAAAAGGGGAATTACTCATTCTTCATTCAATGCCATCCATACCTGATTCTAGTGTTTTAACAGTCACTGTATCTGACTTGGCTCCAGCACCTTTCCTATTGAAAGCTCGTATATAAAATTTGTAATCTGTATGTGGCTTAAGATCGTGTATACATTTATATTTCTCAGATGTAGCTTTCTTCTGTGTTACTAGAATAATACGAAAACATCAAATATAGAAGTTATAATAGACAAATATCACTAATACATGTTTGAAAATGATTTATTTTCATTGATACTATTTTAGATTTTTTAGAAGTTTTCACTGCAATTAAAAGTACATGGTTTTCTTAAATTGTTTATGTGTTTATACAGGAGAAAATCAAATATGTTCAAGTTCAGAACAGTTCGAAGTTTTGTAATTTTTTTTCTGTGGAAAGTCACCAAAATAAATTGCTCAGTACAAACTCGTGTCTAAGCTTACATCGCAGCCACCATCGTTGTAATTTTTTTTTATTTGTATGCTTATTCAAAAGAAGATCTATTATTTAAGGTTTGAATAAACATCATTTTCCTACTTGCAGTAGGTGCTGAACTCCTGTAGTTCAAATACCTTAGAGTGAATTATATTAATGCAAATAATTCAACCGAATTCTTAAATCTGATAATTACGACTGTATGCAGCTTTTCAACAATTAATTTCGCATTTTTGAAAATTATCTAAATATTTGAAAAAAAAAATATACAGATTTTAATGTCTGAGTTAACAATAAATTGCTCCCATCAGTCTGTTTGTTATACGGTTACTTTGATATCATTAACAAGCTATGAGACAGAATTCAAACACTGAGTAACTTAGAAACAGAAAACATATGTAAACAAATTGTTGATTAAAACGCATGCAAAAATGACCTTACTGACCAAAGCTTGATGTGCTCTAACAAGTTATCTCCCTTTACACATGTATCCCGTATCCCCCAACTCACCATCCTTCAGCTCCCCATAGACAACAGTATAAGCTAGAATAGGACAGCAGTTTGGATACTCTGATGGAAACCATCGAATACATACTTCTGTACTGCTAACACTTGTGACAGCCACATGTCCAGGCGGTTTGGGTACATTATCTGTAAAACCACATTCAGAAAGGGTTTTTAATTTAATTTGTTTGTTTTTATTGGCAAATTGTATTGTATAAACCTTTTAAAGCTGAATATACGGCATGTGTTGTTCTCATTGTTCAAAGCCATACAGTGACCTATAATTGCCTTTATCTTTATCATGTGAACGGCAGTTGATAGTTGTCTAATTTTAAAATTAGAAATAGTTATATAACTTTTTGTAAACTAATGTTCCAACAGTGTCGTCAAGGTCTTCTGTTGATATTATTCAACTTGCAATCAATTAAAAATCATTTTACACTTATTAAAATGCAAATCTGGCTCCATTGATTTATTTACATTGTCAAATGAATTGTGTTTAATGAATCCAGATCTCCTTCTGAGATAAAACAGATGCTTAGTTAGATAATTATATCATCAACTCATTCATGTCATTATTCAGTGTTTTGGTACTGACATGATTTTTAACAAACTTTTACTAAAACTTCAATGAAAAATAAAGGAGTTCAACAGATTCCAACTCACTCAGGCAAAGGTGACCTGAGATGAATTTGACTATTTTTTTTTATGTCCATTGATAACATAGCTCTGCATGTGGTATTTGATTCTTACATATTTATGGCTGTCAAATGATAGGTTTTGTGACGTCAAATATGCTTGACACAGCTTTCATAATTTGACCTGAACTTATCACTGATATCATCAAACCTCCTCAGACTAAATGGAAACACAAAGAAAAACTTATGTTTATATCATAGAAACGCACAAATACAAACTAATTATTCAATTATCAGATAGCTTATCCTCATATTGATGTTGAAAAATATCAAGGCCTCGACACAACAATAACTTTTTTTTCTTACATTAACTGTCTCAACAAAGAGCCTTGTATTGTGACTTTCTAATAATATTTCAAATTATGAATATGCAGAGGCATTGAGAATCAGTACATATGAGTACATATGAGTTTACAATACTTTTCATGATGATTTGTAGTCTAGCAATTGCCATGTCAACACCAACATCATTTTTGGCAATACACTGGTAGTATCCAGAATCACTTATACTGCTACCTATCAACAGCATATTGTCTGGGTATATCTAAAAACAACAAGAAACAAGTTTTACCATTAAGATTGGACAATTGGTACAATATTTAAGAAATAATGCATGTACTGATTGTTTTATGAAACTAAGTTTAATATATCCAGATGGTGATTTCAACATCATTGATACAACAAATTACATTTATTCTAATCCGAAAACTTAGAACGTTTTCCATCCAAGCCAATCTATAGGAGAAATTAGAAAGTCAGCCATTGCGATATGATGACGCATTTTTTTTCAAAGATGGTGTTTCACAAAAGCGTATAAATATATAGAAACTTACTATCTAAAGGTTAAGCGAATTGCATAGCAATACACTTTCGAAAATAGAGTGTCATATTATAATACTTAAGAAGTATTCAATCAAATCACTTGTTGGTTCTATGAAAACATAACTAAGTGTAATATCGAAGACTAATACTTGTTGGTCAATCTTTGAATATGATAACACCATGTTGCTGTATTTCACAAAATTATTATTGATTTGATTAGAAAAAATATCTCTATTCATTACATTCCTTTGAAAGGGATATTCCCAAATTAAATGTATTTGTGTAAAAAGGGATGGGGTTTGGAAGGCACATTTTCTCCTAGATCTCAAACCGTACAATTAAATGTGCATTTGTGTGAAAAATAGTTTCAAACCGAAATTAACCCCTATTTTATTTTTATTAAGTGCCTTCTAATCCCCACACAGTTTGTACTAGCCCTTACTAAAGAAACTTACACTTATATCAATATGGTAGAGTAATAGAGGAAGAATGTGCAGAAGGACATTCATGTTTTGATTGATTGATTGATTGATTGTTGTTTGCTTTACGCCGCATTAGCACAGAAAGGCTATATCGCGGCGAGAGCTAATTCGAATATTATAACAATTTAAGGTATATTTTTAAAATCAGACAAAAAGTCTTTCAATAAACTAAAACTCTAGACTAAAGCAAATTGATTATTTACAAATAAAAATCAACACTAAGATAACGTGATAAAAATTAAATATAACAACATTTTTTATATTTTATAATATATTCCAATTTCTTTTAAGAATGAAACAATATTTGTAAATGGAACATTATTAAATAAATCATACATATTATTGACATTGGAATGCTTCTTCAGCAAAGTCAATACAATGAATTAAAACATGTTTAATAGCATACTTGCAGTTACAAGGTATACATTGAGGTTCTACTTTCTTTTTTTAAAAGATATTCGTGTGTTATTCTAGTATGACCAATACGACATCTAGAAATAACACACTGATCTTTTCTGCACATAAAATTATTGAAAGGTTTACCTAAATTAGGTTTAATTTCATGTAATTTATTATCATCTCTTTTACTCCATTCATTTTTCAATATATTAAAAACATATTCTCTAATAGTGTTGCTGAATTAAAAGAGGATTTGTTTTATTTTTTATTGTGTTCACCGAGATCAAATATCATTTTTGGTTTGGGAAGTTCCCATGGAGGACATTTGCAAGTTTCAACTTGAGCAACAGATTGTAAATCAAAAGAAGCTAAATGTGGTTTTAAACGTATACCTAACGGAGGAATTTTATTTTCATGTTTTGCAAAAATATCTTCATAAATTGGATTAAAAACACAGCTGTAGGCAGGATTATCTGAGTAGGCTTTTAGTTTGACAGCATATTGAAGTCCAAGCTTCAAACGTCTGTTAGAGAGTGAGTGCTCATCAGCCTCTACATACAGACTCTCAACTGGTGAGGTTTTAAATGCTCCAAGACAGAGACGCAAACCCTGATGATGCACAGCATCGAGAATCTGTATGTAGGACTTCCTTGCAGAACCATACACTATAGAGCCATAATCTAGTTTAGATCTAACTAGAGATCTATATAAATTAAGTAAAATGTTGCAATCAGCACCCCAGTCGTTACTGCCGACAACTTTTAAAATATCTAATGCTTTTAAACATTTCGATTTTAACATTTTGATATGGGGTAGAAAGGTTAACTTTTTATCGAAAATTAACCCAAGAAATTTGGTTTCATCAACAATTTTAATTGGGTTGCCGTACAAAGTGAGTTCTGGATCAATATGCAATTTCCTTTTGTTACAAAAATGCATCCCGACCGTTTTTGAAGTGGAAAATTTAAACCCATTTTCCGAGGCCCATTTTTCAATTCTTCCAAGACATAACTGTAATTGTCTTTCTATGTTATTCATTTTTTTGCCACTATAACATATTAAAAAGTCATCAACATACAATGAACCTTCAATATTACTTTTTAAAACTTCAACAAGGCTGTTGATTTTAAGACTAAATAATGTAACAGATAAAATACTGCCCTGAGGGACACCCATCTCTTGATCATACAGATCAGACATGGTTGAATTTACTCTAACATTAAATTGTCTGTTAGATAGAAAATTCGAAATAAAATTTGGCATATTGCCTTTCAACCCCATATCAAAGAGATCTTTTAAAATACCATACTTCCATGCAGTATCATAGGCTTTTTCTAGATCGAAAAAGACCGACACTACATGTTAATTTTTCGCAAAACCATTACGGACAAATGATTCGAATCGAACAAGATGGTCAAGAGTATTGCGACCTTGGCGGAATCCACACTGGATATTGGCTTAAAGCCCATTGGATTCCAGGAACCAAACAAGGCGATCATTGACCATCCGTTCTAGTGTTTTACAGACACAACTGGTAAGAGCAATTTGCCGATAATTAATAGGATCCGTGTGATCTTTACTAGGTTTTGGAATAGGCACGACGGTTGCAAGCTTCCAGATTGATGGTAAATCACCAGATTCCCAGATGTTATTCATAAGCTGCAAAAGAGCTTCCAGCGAGGAATCTGGCAAGTGTTTTAACAGTTGGTAGTGAATATTATCAGGCCCACAAGCTGTATCATGGGCTTTTACAGAGATGTTTTAAGTTCTTCAAGAGAAAAGAGTTTATTATAATTTTCACCATTTAATGATTTAAAGTTTTAATTTAATTTTTTCTTTTTGTTTTTTAACTTTGTAAAAATCTTCCCTGTAGTTGTGAGAAGAAGAAGATTTCGCCAAGCTTGTTGGCAATATCCTTTTCAGATGTTAATTAATCATTGTCATTTTTTAAATGTTTAACTGTGGCTTTAGAATTTTTACCTTTTATCTTTTGTATCATGTTCCATACTTTTGTCATCGGAGTGTGAGATGTTATCTCCGAGACAAATTTCTTCCAAGACGTTCGTTGTGCTTGCCTGCAAGTCCGCCGTGCCTTAGCGCGAAAAACACGGAAATTACTCAAGTTTTCCGTCGTTGGTTGTTGATTGAACTGTCTTTCAGATTTTTTACGGTCACCTATTGCTTGATCACAAGCATCATCAAACCATGGTTTGCTGGGATGTTTCGGATTTGCCGAGGTCTTAGGAATAGTTTTGTCAGCAATTGACGTTGAAACTGTATTAAAAGTTAAAATTGGATCTTGTACAGTCTCAAACATCTTTGACTGAAGTTCCGCTTGACAGAGATTCTCAAACAAGGACCAGTCCGCCTTGTCAAGTTTCCAACGTGGTACTCTCTGTTGGGCAGAAGTAAAAAGATGTTCAAGTACTATTGGAAAGTGATCACTTCCACATAGATCATCATGAACACGCCATGAATAATTCAGAAGAAGAGAGGGATCGCAAATAGTGATAGCAGAATAGGACCCGTTTCCAGGATGAAGATAAGTATTAGATCCATCATTAAAAATGCATAATCCTTCTTGAGAGACAAAGTCCTCAATGATCTTACCTTTGATATTATGAGACTTGCTTCCCCACAAGGACCCCCAAGGGTGACTGGGGAATAGAAGTATGGTCACCATTGGTCTTCCTCCGACCGGCAGTAAAACCCTTGCTAAATGGGGCGTCCGTTTGGCTGTGCGGGATGTACAAATTTGCAGCCACGTCCGGTCAGAATGGGGACGTTAAATCTGATGACCTGTTGCAAGGCTAAATTTCTGTCCCTATCCAATATACCCTCAATTCCCGTGGCAGTCTAAATTTCTCCGACCTTAACCCCTTCATCTATTACAGAACCTACCTATTGTATTTATTGTGAACTTGTTCTCGTCCTGAATATGCATGAAATATTTGCCACTGGACGTTAAGCAACCAACAATCAATCAATCAATCCCCACAAGGGGTTGTGGGCATTGAAGTCGCCCATGAGTATAAATGGTGAGGGTAATTGATCAGTGAGGTTTTGGAGTTTAGCTTTATCTATAATTGAATTGGGTGGAATATATATAGAACATAATGTAATTGTTTTATCTAATGATAAACGAATTGCAACTGCCTGCAGATCCGTGGTGAGTTGGACTGTGCTATGAATGACGTTGTCCTTCACAAAAATGGATGAATCGCCTGCAGCACGTTCATCTACCTTAGAAAATGTGCTATACATGTTGTATCCTTTTAAAGATACATTGTCACTTTCTTTTAAATGAGTTTCTTGAAGACAAAATGCAATTGGTAAAAATGACTGAACTTGAAGCGTTAACTCGAGGAGATTTATGTTAAGACCTCGGCAATTCCATGGGATGATATTAGTTATGATTTGATAATAGACAGGCGAATGCTGTCGAGTTTGCCAGCATTCTAATTTCGCTCACCCTTTCGGGTGGCGGAACACTTTCGATTTCCTTTTCAGTTTCGTCGATAAGTGTTGAAAATTTGTTGTGTGAGGAGAGTCGTCGATCTCCGGGACCACACGCGGCTGTTTTTACTCCGCCTCGACCCCTACCCCGCGACCTCGAATCAGAAGACTTCTGAAAGGATGTATTTACTGGCTTCATTTGGACATCCTTCTTTTCTGGAGAACGAAGAGGAGACGGGGCTCTAGTAGACTTTGTACTGGATGTAGAAGATAACTTTTTAGATGCAGATGAAGGAAGACTATTGGAGATGGAAGAATCATCTATGTCACTGGGAAGATCCCAGACAGATTCACCGCCCCAACTGTCTGATTTAACTGCATCTTTTTTATTTGATTTCTTTTTTTCATTTTTTTAGATGATGACATTGAGCTCTGTAAGGAAGATTGAGTTGACTGAGTACTGGTTTTAGAAGGTGTTGGTTTTCTTGGAATTAATATTTTATCGTTAGGTTCTGTTTCAACAGGCAGCATTGTAAATGTCTCAGCATCAATTGGCCAGGTCATGCGAGTTTGTGTGTGCTCGTGACTGAATGAACGGACAACTTTGCTGGCGTACGATGGTTTGTTCGAAACGAGGAGATCATCTCTGTTTAGCTTCTGGGTAACTGATGTTTCTTTCTGTTTTAATTTTGATAATATTTTTTTCTTTAAGGTAAACAGGGCAGTCCCTAGATGATGAAAAATGGGATTCACCACAGTTTACGCATTTAGAAGATTCAGAGTGACAGGTTGTTCCCTCGTGTCCTTCGTCAGAACACTTGAAGCATCTCTGCGTACCACGACATTGTATGCTTCCATGACCAAACTTTTGACAAGTGAAGCATCGAATTGGGTTAGGGATAAACCTGTCAACTCTGATTCCGAAGCAACCTAAAGTAATAGATGGAGGAGGAGTTAAAGTTCTAAAGGTCAAAAGATATGTATTTAATTTGATTATATTTCCATTCTTTTTTATTTAAAATCTAACAACATCAGTTACACCTTGGCTTGAAAGTTCCTCACAGATTTCTTCCACGATAAGGTCACCAAGGTATTGACTTCTGTCTCGAATGATCCCCTCACAGCTGTTCAAACTGTTGTGAGGAGAGGCAGAAACAGGAAAGTTTGTAATTGTTGTCATTGTAAGCAAATTTGTTGATTGACTTTTGTTGGAACATTCAACCAACAAATTGCCTGATCTCATTTTTGAAACTTTTTTTACAGTACCAGCAACGCTTTGAATTTGTTTGTGAATCACAAAGGGAGATATTTTGGAAATTGGTTTTTCATCTGTTCCTTTTATTACAATAAATCTGTGCCAACTGTCATCTTCCTGACAGGGCACTGAATCATCACATTTTCTTTTTTTATGTATTAAAGCTGATTTAGAGGGTTGGTTTTGTTGTGCCATAGGAAATGAGAAAGATTCATCATTCTTGTCATCCACCCACCTCGGAGTGCCTACAAGGGCGATGCTGTGTTTCCGCGGCGAGCCGGGGTCAAGTGCTAATGCTGAAAACGAGCTCTAAGTATAACATGTATAACGTAGCTGGTCCCCAAAATTAACACCAAAGATCCACTGCGGAAAGCACCAGATGTTCCAAGAATAGTATACTCAAGCAGAGCGTATCCATCAAGCAAAATAGAAAGCGTACCACTTGATTGACCCATGAGCCGTCGCCTTCTTCAGTTTTCCGAAATATAAATAGCTTAATTTAAAACACATGTGTATATAATGAAAATTGTTACAAGAAAGCTTATTGTTGAGGATTAACTGAAGGGCTCGACATGATCAGCCGATTGATCGAACCGGGTCCATCCGACCTCCCGTTTAGATGATATTGGAGCCAAAGCAGCTTATTGAACTATAGTCTCGTCCGTCCGGGTATTTTCTGACCGTAAGGAGTCTGGCTACAGCCCTCATCCGCAAGGACCTCGTCAACCACCGACACGGGAAGCAACCCACGGCCAACGGGTTGGAGAGCCTATTTTATTCAAAACATCGGGCAACTCGTACGATGTTCGGATCACTTTAGTCTGGTCTCTACCCTTCGACCTGTCCAGCATGGGTAACCCTACCAGGAGACGAAGCTCCAGCTGGCATAGCTCTTGGGGTCACTGAGACACGCAAGCCCCCCGACCACGGCAAGGATAGCGATCCACCGGGGGGCATTCATGTTTTGCAATTTTCAAAAATAAAAAGGGGATAAATCAGGAAGGGTTAATGAGTCACTGCTCACATCTAAACTCTATTTATTTGTTATTTTTTCAGCATTGTGTAAGAATTTAATACAGTTTGGATAAGGCAAACTTAGTTTGGAGTGCGGAAACAAAAATGAGACGGTCGGAAAGAGGACGGATCAACAGTCAAAGTCAACACTTGATACCCCCGTTTCCTACAGGGCATAACAACAATATCAAACCTGCATATTTTCCAGAGATTCAATCTTTTGTCCATTTTTGTACCAAGTAACCTCTGGTGTAGGAGTACCTCCAACAGTACACTTTAATCGAAACCATCTGGCTACAGGATACCCTTTGCTGAGTGGAGCTTTGATTATGAATGGTGGCACTGAAAATATATAATTATTCATGTCAACTTTAGGGAATAAGTTATCCTTTGGTCAAATCAATAATAATTTTGTGAAATACAGCAACATGGTGTTATCATATTCAAAGATTGATCAACAAGTATTAGTCTTCGATATTACACTTAGTTATGTTTTCATAGAACCAACAAGTGATTTGATTGAATACTTCTTAAGTATTATAATATGACACTCTATTTTCGAAAGTGTATTGCTATGCAATTCGCTTAACCTTTAGATAGTAATTAGTCCCTCTCTTTCGCAAATACTTTTTTTTCTATATTATCATATAATCGTCATTTTTGTCCATGAGTGGTATGGAACATAATACCACTTCTTCTTTCTTTTATAAATACTGACTAATTTACTCATTCATAGTTATCGATAAAATCTAGATATCATTTTATTTTCAATTCAAATTTGTTATGCAATATCAGCAAAGAAACATCATTAGAATGTGTCACATTGGGAATCATACCACATCTTCCTTTCATTTATATTGACATCTCATGTGAGATTTTTTAAACTAAAGATAGCATATTCTGTCATGATTAATTAAGAAACTAACATTAAAATCTTACATTCAAGTGCAGTCGATAACTAATATCAAAAGACGAAAAAAAATTTAAAACTTCTTAGATAACTATCCTATCAAACAAGTATTGACAACTATGTTTTGTATGTTGGTTTCAAAACGATCTAACTGATCTAAGTTTTAGTTATAAATTCATACATGTAAAAGTATAAAAAATTCTCAAATGTTGTGGTTTATGTTTAGTATTCTTGTTGTTTTATTCTGTAAACCTGGTAAAGTGATCAATATTTTTTTCAATCATTTTGTGAAAATGAACCTTCACATTATTTTCAAAAATTTTTGTTCTATCTTTAACCAAGTGTTCCTGAGGTGAGACTTATCATTTATCTTTTATGAAGCCCTTCTTTTTATTAAAAAAAACATATTGGGAACTCAATTTGATGAAGGTGAAATAAATGTATTGTTCATGGTTTATATTTTAAACATTTTGTTTAATTGCCAGTTTTTATAAGAACCAGGCAATTTAGAATTTCTAAACATGACAAAAAACCAACAAACAATCCCATCGACCTGATTATCATATTTTGAAGTTACCCTAACCCTTTATTGGAAATGCTTGGACTTTCGTTTCTGCGAGTCTGGTATTTCCAGATATTTCCAGATAAGGATTGTTTAATTATAGCAAATAACGGAGTTTGTTCCCCTTAATTTTTTATTTCGATAGAATTTAAACCAATTATAATGAAATAACAGAACAGGGAAAGCAATTAATACAATAAGTAAGTTCTGCAATGTAGTTATTTAAGTTGCCAAGTTGCAAAAAGTTCAAGACGACAGCAAACTAACAATTATTGCAGTAGGTATATGTTTTGCAGTGTAAGGTTTACCAGAATGAAGGGTCAGACATTTGAAATGCCACTGAAATGCATACCTTTGACGTTTAGTTTGGTCTCAGCCACTGCATCAGGAAATCCTGGTGAAGACGCTACACATTGGTACGTCCCAGCGTCAATCTTGTCGACTTCTATAAACTTAATATTACTCTTATCATAAATTGTGTTAAAAATGTCATCTGATGTTTGATTTCCATCTATAAATAAAATAACAAACTTATTATTAATACTAACTAAGTACTGTTAATTTAGAAATAAATGTATGCATTTATTATTGCCAATCTGTGACCTCTGCGATTTTCCAAAAAAAGTATGAAAGAAAATCACTGCTGAAATTACCAATGAGAGTCTTGATTTGCATAGTTTACATAATGTTGTTGAATTTTAGCATTTCTAAAAAACCAATAATTACTGAATTCACAGTACAAATGTACTTACTGTGGATATTGATTGACTGTAGCTGGCTTTAGGGGCAAACACTTCATGCCTATTTAGAATGAACTACTAACAAACAATAGAAAACATGTAGGCCAACTCATTGAAGGTGGATAATTTGGACTGCCACTGAAATTGACGGCATATTGGATCTAGGGCATACATTCATATTTTTATTGCATGGGTCATCAACATGTCATAACACAGAAGGCATCAGATTTTACATACCAATTCTAACTAAACATGGTTGTGTATTTATACAGCAGATACATATAAATGTGGACCGTAAGTTGTCCTGTTCGAGCTGTTTTACACCATATCTTTTTGGGCCTTTCATAGCTTTCTGTTCGGTTTGAGGCAAGCCTCCTTGTTGACCGCCGTATTTCGACCTATAATTGTTAACTTTTTTATATATTGTGACTTAAGTGGAGAGTTGTCTCTTTGGCACTCGTATCACATCTTCTGATTTACATGTATATATATATTCTTGGTTTTCAAATTTTTATGGATTTCCGGATAAGAGGAAACAATAAATCTAAGTACTTTGAGAACTACACAAGTTGTCTAAACTAAATTGATTGGCGCGAATAATGATGTCATACAATTTGATATCCGTGTTTGGTACCTGTGAGCAGAAAGTAAATGAAATCCGCAGAATATAATTTTGTGAAAAGATGATTACATATTGCAATTTCATTTTATTAACAAGAGCAAATAATATTTGGCAAAAGCGTCAACGTTTTGTTTTGAATTTCACACTAACTGTTAAGCACCACAACAAATGTATAAATAGATTTTACAAACCTTTCATCCATGTAACCACAGGTGTTGGATTCCCTTTTGCCAGGCATTCTAATATAACTGAGTGCTTTATAGTGGCATTGATTTCTTTAGAAATAGCCACTATCTTTGGAGGTTGTCTTTTTGTATCTGCAAAACAATCTGTGTTGTTTACTTTTAAATGCACAATTTAAAGCATGAGCTTTTCTTAACTTACAGTGTTGCTCAGCCTTTAGTCTTCTATGCTATGTTTTTGTGTACTTTTGTTCACCTGTTGGTTGTTTTCCGTTTTAGCCATGGTGTTTTCTTTTTATTTCCGACCGACGACTTTGAATGTCACTCTGGTACATGCATCATTGTCCCAGGTTAGGGGAGGGTTGGCTTCTGCAAACTTGTTTTACCCTGAATCACTCTATATGTGCCTATCGTATCCACAGTCTAGATCCTGTAGTTCAGTCATTATTGTTTGTTTCTGTGTTACATAATTGTTTTTAGTTCATTATTTTGTAGATATTAAATTATGCCGTTATTCTTCTTGATTAAATCGTTTTACATTTGTCATTTCGGGACTTTAATAGATGACAATGCGGTATGGGCTTTGCTCATTGTTGACTACCTATAATTGTTTAGTGATATGTCATTGGGTCTCTTGTTTAGAGTTTCTCAATGGCAATCTTACCACATCTTCTTTTTGATATACATGTGGAATTTGTTTAAATATCAAAGGATCAAATATATTTTTTTAGATGTTAGTAATGTGTAAACTGGAGTTATTTTAACTAACAAACTAAGAACATCAAGAATAATGGGTTAATGGACACAAATTACTGCATTTATTGATATGTTTTTATTATTATAGCGTAATACCAATATCAAAGTATTGAGACATATGAAATATACGATTCCAAAGTCATCTATACATACCAGTGAAATAGACAACGTAATGACATGATTTACTATAAGTAGTTCGTCAAACATGATCAAATGAAGTGTAAATCAACTGTAAACCAAGTGAAGAAAAAAATACATACCAGTGAAATAGACATCGTAATGACATGATTTACTATAAGTAGTTCGTCAAACATGATCAAATGAAGTGTAAATCAACTGAAAACCAAGTAATAAAAAAACATGCACATCTCAATCAGTTGATTGTTTGATTGGTTTGTGTCTAACGCTAATTTCAGCAATATTGACTATTTGGTTGTTGTCAGTTTTTAATCTGTGGTGGAAGCCAGAGTGCCTGGTGACAACCACATACCTTCTGCAACAATCTAAGTCAGATATTTGTAGATAAACAAATCATAGAAGAATCATGGCGCAAATATAAAATTTCAATCCTAGTATCTATTATGAGTTTATTATTATTATGAACAACTAGTATACTACAACAATTTTCCGATTTTCAACCTTTTATTTGGATTAAAAAGAAGAGACTATTAACCATTTAAGGTGTATACATGTAAAGGGATGATAATCTATTGAATGCATTTTTGTAGTAAACTGAATCTTTCAGAATTTTTAATTATTACAGGGACTAAACAAAAATGTGTGCATAACATTCCGTGATTTTTGCACTATAAATAAGTACATTCAGTTTTATTTTGCCTTTAGTACTGCCTGGGAGGACTGTACTGCCTTTACCTGTTTTAAATTTGAGTCCTGCCTGGACATGATTATGCTGCCATTACCTGCTATAACTTTGAGTCTTGCTTGGAACCGACTGTGCTGCCATGTCATACCAATAATTTCAGGTACATTGTTCACTCTGTTAAAACTTTGGTATACTGAGCAATGGAAGGAGCCCGCATCAGACTCTGATATATTGTGTATCTGTAATATTCCTGAGGATAGGGCTATATACCTAAAAAATGTTAATAATATAAAATATGCAAATGCATTTTTCAAATTGGTTTTGTTCTGCAGTGGATTCATTTTTTTTATGGGTATCAATTCTCATGGCTTGAGGAAAAATAGTATTTTCAGGGAAATAACATTTCACGGTTTCTACATAGTACTTTATACCTTATTGAACTTTTGAATTTGTGATTAACCTATGCCGTCCAAAGAAGAATATAGCCAACAGCCATAACAGAGAGGCGAGAGATACAAGAGGAACAGTCAAACTCATAAATCGAAAATAAATTGACAACGCCATGGCTAAAAATGAAAAAGACAAACAGATAAATAATAGTACCCAAGAAACAACATAGAAAACTAAAGACTGAACAACACGAACCCCACCAAAAGCTGGGGTGATCTCAAGTGCTCCGGAACGGTAGGCAGATACTGCTCCACATGTGACATCCGTCGTGTTGCTCATGTTATTACAAACCCAGTAAATAGTCTAATTCGGTAGGTCACATTCATGAAAAGGGAAGGGGATTGTAGTTACGACGTAAGAAACATATCCGATATCATCTCTGAAACGGTTATTCCATAACGGTCAACCAACTCGTGATTGCGTCCGTAAAATTTACGAAGGGATGATTTCAACTTCACCATTTGGAACTCTTGGTTTATTAGCTTCCTTGTGAGCAGCAACCCTCTATCAAGGAAATCATGATAGGACATACAAACGCGGGAATATCGTATTAATTGGGAGATATATACTCCGTATGTAGGCGCTGCTGGAATGTTGCTACAAAGAAATGGAAAGTACACAATTGGGAAGCTGAAATCATCTCGTTCGTCGTAAAGTTATGTTTTCAACCGACCCTCATTGTCAATTTCTAGATGTAAGTCAAGATATGAGGCAGGCGTAACTGTATCTGTTGTATCCTTTATCTCTAGTTCGATGGGATAGATGCGTTCAACATAGTCACCAAATTTTGAATTATTTAGTGAGAGAACTTCATCTATATAGCGGAAAGATAAGTTAAAAGATATTGCTAACCTCTTAATTTTCATCATAAGAAGTTCCTGTATGAAGTCAGCCTCAATAGAATAAAGAAACAAGTCGGCAAGTAGAGGGGCACAATTGGTTCCCATTGGAATGCCGACAGTATGTTGAAAAACACATCCTCCTAACGTAACAAATATGTTGTCAATCAAGAAATCAAGCATCTTGATAATGTCAGTTTCAGAGATTTTTTGTTTGAATCAGTGTGATCCTTTACAAAGTAAGATTTATCCCTCCAAAAGACAAGATACCTGTATCTACGTTGGCCATTCTTTTTTATGAAACAAAGCAATACCAACTCTTTCAATTTGTCTTTTAGTTTGGAATGGGGAATACTTGTGTAAAGTGTAGAAAAGTCAAATGTTTTAATACTATCGCAAGATGAAAGAGTCTTAGATTGTATATACTCTAAAAGATCTTTGGAATTTTTTTTCATCCAAAGGAACATAGAACAGACCTATGCTTATCCAGGATTTCCTCTTTGGTAAGTGTCGTGAGGGTATATGTTGAGTTTTCAAGTGAATTGTCAATACCTAATTCATTTATCAAGCAGTTTATGTAATGTGTTTTACGTGTAGAATGTTATTGCAAATTAAACTTCAGTTACTCTTCGTGATCCTTTGAGATTAGAAATTCTTAGTAGTACTAAATATTAAATAATTAAGCTATTTCTAATTTATTTGGATTTTTAGCAGTAACAGAAGCCTGCGATGACAGTCATATCATATTAAAATATATACAGACTGATAGAAATAGCGTGGCATAGTATCATAGCACTACTTTACATGACCTCGTATCTTACCTGCTATTCTGAGGTAGAGGTAAACTGTTTTTCTTCCAGACATAAATTGGAGGAGGTATTCCATCAATCTTACATTTAAATCGTGCCACGCCTCCTAATTCTACTTTCTGGTAAGCTGGCTCAATACTTAAGGACTTTGAAATGCCTAACAATGTAGAAATAATAACAGAATATCAATTTTATTTCAGTTGCTTATAAATTACAGCTCACAAGGATTAACAATTTCAACGTGTCCGTAGTGGCATTGGTAAACAAAAGTTTGGATTTCCTCTATATATTGACATACCATGTTTTAAATAATTCCGATAGGTTCTAGAGTCATTCGGTTAAGGACTAGCAATATTCAGATACAGCAAATAGAAATTCAGAAAGGGGAAGAGAAATTCAGATAAGCCAAAGAACAATTCAGAAAGGGTCTAGAGAAATTCAGATATGACAAAGAGAAATTCGGATAAGCCCAGGAGAAATTCAGATAGGGTCTAGAGAAATTCAGGTAGAGCCAAGAGAAGTTCTTATAAGACCAAGAGAAATTCAGAAAGGGGTCTACACAATTCATTCAAGCCAAAGTATAATTCAAAAAGGGTCTAAAGAGATTTAGATACAGCCCTTGGATGGTGTAAACTTCCCAAAAAAAACGTGTATGGAGTAATGGTGTATGGCATATGGTGCTATGGTAGAAGGTGTATGGTGCTATGGTGTATGGTGTACGGGGAATGGTGTAATGGTGCACGACAACCCGTCATGCTCGATAACGCCAGATTGTATTATAAATATTCACAAATATTATCATCATTATTACAACGCATATATAATTCAACATCATACAATTCCTGTGTATATATAATCCTAAATACACCAAAAACAACTTTGACTAAATGCACCCCTTCATAGACGGTCAGGGCCGGCCAGGAAAAACTAGAGATAAAAAACGATATAATCGATCAAAAAGCTGTAGAACCCTGTGTCAGTGGATGCCAAATGCGCAATCCCGTCTCCAGGGTCAGGTGCTCTGACCTACACATTAATCATGTGTGTATTGGCAAATTAAAATGTAATACAAAATATCAACGTATATACATCAAAAATGTAAGTTGAGTGTTCACTCGTTACACGACAGCTAGAACGTGACCCTATGCTTTATTACCAGAAAGTACACCCATTGGTCACTATGTGTGACCCTATCATATATTCATACGACCCGTACCCATCAATAAAATATTTTCCCGCTATACTTAAACGAAACGCGAAAAAATACAAGTATTAACTACATACTCGTATCAAATATAAACAACGCAAACATAATCTTAGTTTGCCGACAGCCCGTCATGCTCGATAGAAAAACACAAAGAACGGGGGATCAGGAAAAAAGTAACGTTACAGTCCCAGTGTTTGTGACACTTTAAGACTCTTTTCAATGGAGTCCACAATATAACTATCTTTACTTTTCTCTGTTTTCCATCTCCCGTGTCTTTTCAAACATCTACTATCGTTAGCAACATGATTTGCGGCTGCGGTTGCCCCACCAGAACGAAGTGAATGTAAACCTAAATTTAAATTCCCAGAGACTGATTTAAGTCTAGAAATTATGTTCTCTCTAGCTGACGTGTAACTAAGCTTTTTATTTTTGTAAATTCATTTACAAGTATTCCCTGATCTGAAAACAGGCCTGAACAAAACCATTTCTGACCCCTCAACAAAACCTTCTAACCGAACATATTTCAAATACATATTAAAAGGACAAACGACTGACAAAAATTGGAAATCAACACTTTATTTCCTTGCCTATACTGGTCAGTCTTGCTTTTGTTTAGATATAAAACTAGAAACTCATCTTTTACCTTAACATCGCTAAAAAGTAAAGAGCTTTATTCATCATATCTTAGAAACTCTGCATACCCTAATAAAGTTATAGTCAAATCCCTTACAATCAACAAGTCTTCTGAATCTGAATATTTTTCACAAAGTTGTATCAACATATCAGTAGTAACCGGTACTTTTTTAGTAACAGTTTTGTAAGCAGTACGTTTTGCTTCCTGTATGGATGAAACAAATGAGTTTTCTGTAGGATCGGCCAAACCATTGATCATGTTGATCTCGTATTTAGCATTGTCAATTGGGTGAAAATTCGAACCTTGATCAAGCAAACGAGTAAAATAAAGTGCAATATGAATAGGTTGGGCTGGCAAAGCAGCAAAACCTAGCTTAGTTATATACTGTTCCCAACGCCTAAATGCGTAAAAATAAGATTTTGTAGTATTGTCACTTCTGCTTCCTAGCAGTAACTTGCACATCTTAGGAAAAAGCTGATATAAAGGACTGTCTGTTGTAACTCCACTCTCCAAAACAGCTGCCTCTACATGCTCATTAATCTTTACACCTATTGCATGTATTGTAAATATAAAAATAACAAAATCAAAATTCTATTTTCAAAGAAACAAGTCTAATTTCAATTGATGGTTTACCTAATAAACCATTTTGGCCTTTTCCTTTTTTGATCAAGTTATATCCATGTAAATATTTGTAATCGACTACAAAATTTTGAAATTTTGCTTCGTGTGTTAACATACACCAGAACGGTACTGATCTCCACTCCGATACAACTAAAGTACCTTCACAACGTTCTATTGCCAATTTGTTAATAACCTTTCTAATTAGTGAAGGAGGGGGCACTAACCAATTATTTTCATTTGCCCAGTTCTGTTTAAAGGCATCTATGCATGCTTTACCTTTGCAGTAAAACTTAGAATAAAACATTTTGCATTTTGTGTTGTAATTGCATGCAAAACGGTTACATGTAAAAATACCCCATAAATCATTTAAATATTCAAAAATCCATGACTGAATACCCCAGTCATCACAATCGGACTGTCTACGTAATTTATCAGCTTTAGTATTCAATTCTCTAGGAATCCAGTCACATGACATGTCAATTGAATATTTACTGCATGCATAGTGTACAGACATAGCTTTTTCTTGTAAATAGGGTTTTTTACTTCCTACTTTAAGGATAAGTAATTCATTTTTATTATCTGTGTGTATTTTAAACGATTTCCCCTTTATCCTACTGACAGAGTTCTTTAAAACCCTGTCTACCGCCTCTAACTCTCTCCAAGTTTAACTCTGTTTCGTTTCAGTAATTGACCAACTACCAAACATATTTGGTTCATTTGATTCATCTGTCGGATCAAAGTTCAAATGACCACCATAGCCTACATCCGAAGCATCACAAAACATCTACACATTTTCAGATGTAACGTCTGTCAACTGACTCAGTTCAGAACCCTTTTTATTGAGGTTGTCTATATTTTTTAACCAAAACTCAAACTTGGCAATTGCCTCCCTATTCAATACCACCAAAGAATTCCAACTGGCTTTTGCTAAAATACAATCTTAAGAAAACCGAGTTCTCAAACGAACTTCATCTCCAATTACTGCTTGTGAAGAAATAATGTTGACCTACTATAGAAGCTAAAAATCGAACTTTCACCAAAACGTTCATATTGCATCCTATCTGCAAAACCAAACTGTCTAAGCAGTCCTTCAATTTTACGACTCTTTTTTCACTTAATTGTATTAGACCTTCGATCAAATTCCAATCAAACCCGAGACACGTAACTTTTTGTGCCGGTTCCCAAATACATTTTTCGTGCGCCATAATAAAACCCAAACTTTCAAGATCCGACCTGATCGTTTTACTTGCTTTCCAACACCCAGAATAGGTTTTTCATCCATCATTTAGATACATTACTATTTTAAAACCGTCGTTTCCCCAATACCTTACAACTTTGCTCATGATTTTGGAAAAAATGTATCCACTTGTTGACAAACCAAAAGGTAATACATTAAACACGTAGTACTTATTTTTCTACTTAAAACCTAAATATGTTCTATCTGAAAAACAAATTTCCCCACATGATGATAAGCACTCTTTAAATCATAGGAAAAAATGAAGTAACCTTTATTAAAGATTTTTCGAGCTGTGCTAGCATCTTAATTTTTATAACGAAATTTGAAAAGATGGGGATTAATGTGTCTTGCATCAAGAACTAATCGAAGTTTATCTTTTTTGTTTCCTGCCACTGTTAAAGGATTAACAACATGTGGAATATAATAAACCTCGCTTATGCATTTTTTCTGTAATAACTTGTTTACTTCCCCTAAAACAAATCGAGGATTCTCCTTCGCTGACCTATTTTTTTTCAAGTTCAACCTTACCTGGTATTACCATAAACGGTATTTTATATCGTTTTTTTTTTATTACATCTAAAATATATTCATTTGCGCCTATTGATAACTATTTTGTAATTTTGTTATGTGAGTCCTTAATATACCTGCCGGCGATGTAATGTTTACATTTGAGTTGTCAATTTCGTTGTTTTGATTGTCTCAAAACATTTTTGTTGTATGTATATCTACTATTACTGTCATTAATATGCCGTCTTGTTGCAGTTAAAGCATTTCACTGGTCTGTCGATATGGTTTGTTCTTGTGAGAATAGTGAACGGAGCTGATGAATTAGAAGCTGGTTTCCTTTTTGACTTTTCTTTCTTTATTTTTGCCTCCGCTCTAGTTTGGGCTTTATACATTCTTTTTTTCGTCCTCTGAATTTTCAGCTAACGGATTAGCGGTATATTCTGCTACAACTCTCCAACTAGCTGCTGATGAGTCAGCTAGTTTTATTAATTTCTGTCTGTCTCTAATTTAACTCATACCTTCCGTAATTTTGTCCTTGGCCGACTCGATACTATCCTTTGTGAGATGTTCCTGATTCAGTTCACTGTTCGCTTCCTTGAACTTCACTAAAACTTAACTGTTATGTTTGTGTTGTTCCTCGTTCCCCCTTTTCTTGAACTTATAATTATCGGACAGTGTCTCATCTAGCTTTGCCATTTGGAATTCCGCTAACGCCTTCTGAGTAGACTGCAAATTCTTGTTGAAAGATTCCAGGCGATTATCTAGAAGGGTGGTCATGCTATCCAATATTGTTGTCTGAGAGTTCTGAAATGCAGCTTGAACTTCATTTTGTATTTCGAATCGAATTTCGGCGTCCATCTTAAGTTGAGTGTTGACTCGTTGCACGACAGCTAGAAAGTAATCCTATGCTTTATTACCAGAAAGTACATCCATTGGTCACTATGCGTGACC